TTGATGGATAATTTTGCTGCATATAGAATTCTAGTTTGATGGTTTTTCTATACACACTTTAAATAGTCCCTTTACTCTTTTCTGGTTTCTGAAGAAATGTTGGCTCAACTTTATTCCTGTTCTCCTCTAGATAAGATGTTTGTTATTTTGTGTTTTTTTGTTTTTGTTTTTGCTTCCAGTTGCTTTCGAGATTTTCTTTTTGTAACTTGAATATGATATGCTCAGCTATAGATTTTAGATATTTATCTCTCTTGGTTCTCAGAGCTTCCTGGACCTGTGGTTTGGTGCTTATTAGTAATTTTCTCATGTAATAACTGAGATATTTCTTATACTTCTTTATCTGTTCTCCTTCTGGCACTTCTATCATGTGTATGTTACACCTTTAAAGTTGTCCCATATGCTGGGATGTTTCGTTCTGTTTTTTTTTTATATGTGTGTTGGTGGGAGGAGGAGGGTTCATTTTTTGTTCCTCTTTACATTACAGTCTAGGGAGTTTCTGTTGACCTCCTTTCAAACTCACCCATTCTTTCCTTGGCTCTCTGGATTATGAATCCCTTAAAGACATTCTTCATTTCTGTTACAGTGTTTTTTGTTTTGTAGCATTTCCTTTTGATTCTTAGAATTTCCATTCTGCTTATAGTCTATGTTGTTTACTTTTTCCTTTCAAGCTTTTAACATATCATAGTTATTTTAAGTTGACAATGCTAACTTTTAAGTCCTCAAAACTTCCCAAGCTGAAGATGCTCTGTTGATTTTAGAAGTCATTTATTAGAGATCAATTGGGTCTTTTAAAAGCTGACAAATTGTTGACATTCGTGGAACCGAATTAGATTGAACACCACTAGATGTCAGGTTTTGCTCTAGTCCCTGTAACTACTGGGAATCAAGACAAACTTCTTGCCTTCCGGAAACATAGAGTTAGTCCACAGAGAAAAAAAAGAAGATTCTAATATCTACGTTTTCAGTGGAGTTTCTTTGCTAGCTTTCAGGGCTCAGGGTATTAGTGCTTGGGCTGTGACTTGCAGGAGAATGGCAGTTGAAGTAAGACCGTTATTTACAGAGAGTTTGTCCACTTTGTGGACAAATTTTGTTTTCATAGTTAGGGCATCTGTGGCAGTGGTCCATAGGTTGGAGGAGGTGAGGACAAGCCAGAAGACGTTATTTCTCTCATTCCTGCTTTAACCTGAGCAACTTTGCTTTTATTTATTTTTTTATTGAACTTCCAAATAAGATTTTGTTTGACAAACATTTTTTGAATTCACACAATAGAGAACTAAATCTTGCTGTTGGAATTTGTTGTTTCAACTCTAACTTTTTAGTTACTGTGTTTTTATGTCTTATATAAAAACAGCATATACATTAGTTAGTTCCTTTTGCACTCAGGTATTGTATTTCTGGTGCCACTTGAATGCCTTAGGCTTCCAGGTTTAAGAAATAGAAATATGTTGACATGATCTTGAGTAGTGTGGGTTTGGTTAGGATATAGAGGGAGGAAAGGAATCTCATAAATGAATTCCTTGCCTTATGGAACTGGAAATTTAGAATATAGCTTTTCTAGAATTCCAACAGCATTTTAACATTTGTGCTTTCTCATTGACATTTGTTCCAATCCATTCTTCTCTCTCTGTCATTCCTTTCACTTGGCTTCTCTTCTTTTAGTTCCCACTGCTTCCTTATACCTTTACTTTTTTCTTTTTTTTTTTATTTGAGTATAGTTGACACAATGTTACATTAGTTTCAGGTGTGCAAGGTAGTGATTTGACAAGTTTTTACACTATGCTAGGCTCGAGTGTAGCTACCATCCGTCACCATACAACGCTATTACCATATCATTAACAATGTATATTCCTGTGACTTATTCATTCCATAACTGGAAACCTTATACCTTTAATCTTGACCTATGTGTCTTCACCTTCTCTTTGCCTCAGAATTGCTATATGAGAGGCTCCTAACTTTCACATGTGTGTTAACTGCTTAACCGTGCCTGGTCTTGGGCTAGCTGTTATTGGATTGATTAGGTACAATTTCATATAATTTTTCAAGTTTTGTGCCAGAGCCGTCCTAGGAACTGTTTATCATGTATAATCTCCTTTCAGCTCAGGCCCTGGTCCTTAGGCTGTGTCACTGTAAATAAGGTCAACAGACTACTTTGTTTACTTACAAACTTACAAATAATAACTTGTAACATTTTCTGAGCACTTGCTACATATTCCTCATTTTCAAACATATTTCACATGTATTTATTTTATCTCATAACAATCTTAAGAAGTAGGTGCTATTATTAACCTTGTTTTATAAATTGGAAACCAAGGTGCGTTCTTGGGGCAGGGGTGGTGGTGGTGGTGGGTGGTGGCAGCGGCTGATTAACTTGTCCAAATGGTACATAGTTTATAGCATTTCCAAGATGTGGACTTGGGCAGTCTGACCTTGGCTTCCAGGCTCCTGGTTGGTAAATTCTACTGCCTGCTCATGAAAATTATTCATGATGCCCCCCCCGCCACCGTACATAGTAGGATTGTACACTGAGAATCAGCACCATTAATCATGCATATGCCAGCCACTTGCAGTGTTAAAGGCTTTGATGATGCAGTTCTAAAGTGGAAAAGGATAGCCACAGCAAGCAACGTAACCTGTCACCTCACTTGGTTCTAGTAATGCACTTCATCATTTATTTCCATAACTGAAGCAACAAGCAGTTTAAAACAGTGCCTCGTCTATACATATAAAAATTTCATACTGCCGAGGCAGGGAAATAACAGGCAATTTTTGGTATAATCTAAGTCTCATGATTTAAAAAATGTCTTACAGAAATTATTGTATCTCACTGGAAGAAATTCAGGTTTATCACTCTGGGTCTCTATTTATATCAGAAATAATGGCCTGTTAGTTCATAGCTTCTTCAGGTCCACCCATCGTGTCCAGATACAACTGATTTGATCTAACTAGAGTTTGTGAGGAATGACACCTCTATCATTGACCAAAATCTTTTATCTTTAATTGGAAAGATTAGCCAACTAACAAAATCTAGAAATGGAAACTGACAAGTGAGCTGAGGCCATTATACACAGTGCTAGCCGTGCGGCAAGATAACTTCTGTCTTGCCTAGATTTTATTGTTCCTGAAGCCTGTTCATTCCAGAGTACGTACGCTACTACTCCGTCTGTACTTGCCATCTACTTTTACTTGTATTCGTCTGAAACAGGTTTGTTCCTTGAAATCTGAGGAGTCTTACTGTATATGTCATCAATATTGTGATTGATGACCTTTGCAAGTCTGTAGAGTTGCACTGTCACTAGCCATTGCCCGTATGTTGTCCTTTGAATTAATTTTAATTTTCATTTGTAATTTAAAGTTAATTTTAAGTTAAAAGTTAATTTCATGGGCCTTATTTCCTTGATGCACTTTTATCCTGTGTCTTACATATGGAAGCCATTTGCTGGGCCTAGAGAAATGACCTCCAAATTCATATTGTCAGGTGTGACCTGTCTATAGGAGATTATGATTCATTAGGTCTGGATGGAGACCAGGAATCAGGTTTTTCAAACCATCTCTTCTTTGTCTCAACATCCCCAACCTGCCATGATTCTGATGCGTAGCCAGTTTTGGAAACCACTAGCCCAAAGATTGGTTTCTAGGGGAACAAAGAAGTCAAAGTAAAAGTACTTAAATAATTAAGGACTTTTTATTTTTTTTTTTAAGATTTTATTTACTTATTCATGAGAGACACAGAGAGGCAGAGACACAGGCAGAGGGAGAAGCAGGCTCCATGCAGGGAGCCCGACATGGGACTCAATCCCAGGTCTCCAGGATCACACCCTGGGCTGAAAGCGGTGCTAAACCCCTGGGCCACCCTGGCTGCCCAGTAATTAAGGACTTAATCATTTTTCTCTATGGCTTTTCTTTGTTGTTTAATATTTAAGTCATTAATTGAAGCACCTGTTAACCATCTCTATGGTTTTTTTTTTTTTTTTTTTTTTTTTTTGGTTGTTAAGGGGTCTGAACCTTCAGATTGTTACTTGTCACCGACTACTTTTCATTGCAGCAATCTCCAGTATCATCTTTAAAGTTTCCTGGGAGCCTATTTTTTGCAAGATGTGCAGTTTCATTTTATGATTTATTTACATTGTGCTATTGGATTATCTGTGAGAGCCTGATAAGAACTGATGTTAACTATTAATTAGGGAGGGGTGAGTTAGGGAATTAATTTCATATAGGGACAGTTCATTTAATGGACATTTTTGTGTAATGATAGACAACTTTGTACTCCCAGGCAATAAATATTCATGTAAAATAGAGTATTTGTATTTATTGGATTGCTAATTTGTTGGAGTGCTAACTCATATAGATTCTTATTTAGTATACAGTTTAAAAAATGAAATCAATATAGGAGAAGTAGTAAGGTAGCTGGTGTAGGGTGGGGATAGAGATTGGTATTCAGGTGGTGCTGCCTGATATTGAGAGAAGGGAATTGATTTGCCATATAGTAATGCATACTATAATTCTATTTTACTAGTGGGGAAACATATGTCTAGAGAAGCTAGGTAATTTGCTCAAAATAATACCACTGTTAGCTTAGTTGGGTCTGTCTTATTCCAAAGACTACATTCTTTTTAAATTATATTATACTGTCTTACGTTATCTAAAAGAAAAAAAAAAAAACCTTTTAGTTACGTCGAAAAGTCTCTCTACTTACCAACCAAAAACATATGTGATTTATAATTTTAGATAGTTTAGTCAGAAGGCATTGTAGAAAAAAAATGGCACTTTGTATCAACTACTTATCAGACTTTAACAGTTGTATTAATAACTTATTTGATGCTTATTTTAGTAAGACTTTTAAATCGTAGTATGTTCAAACTATATACCTTAACATTAATTTCTGTGGATTTGGTAGCAATGTCTGTCTGTTACTTCCTAATTGTTAATGATTTATTTTTAAGTGGACTGGTTTAAAATGGAAATCTATGTATAGTCTAATTTTTTTTTTTTTTATTATCTAGTCTCTGTAGAAGCTGAAATCCTTCAATCACTGTTCTTCAAAATGCAATGGAATGTACCGAGGTCTGTATTCCGACTGGCACATAGGACATGCATGGAACCACATAAAGCCAGTCTCTTTGGACACTGTCAAAACATAAAGGGACCATTACTTTTATACAAAGCTGAATCCAGAGTAGTTTTGGTACAGGGCCGTCAGAAGCAATGGCTGCACTTATCTGCTGTCCAGTGTGTCGCAAAGGAAAGGAAGCCATTCACTGCTCATCCACCCCAGCTGGGGGTCCTTCACCATAAACAGTGGGAGCTAGATATTTTATCCAAGAGGGTTATGTCATCCAAAGCCACATCCCCTGGAACTTCTTCAGAAAAAAAGGAAGAACCTGATCCTTTACAAGACAAATCTATTAATCTATATCAACGATTTAAGAAAACATTTAGACAATATGGGAAAGTTTTGATTCCAGTGCATCTAATAACTTCTGGTGTTTGGTTTGGAACATTTTATTATGCAGCTATAAAGTAAGTTTTTGCTTGGTTGAGCACCTTCCCCTGCTTTGTCAGAATGTGAATCTTTTTAATTATACTAATGAAAGCCTTAAATAAATAGTTTTTTAAATGCTTTAATGTTTTGAACTGATGAATATGACTGCTTTTCATAGCAGTTTTTGACATTTTCATAGCTAAATTTGCTTAGCATGTATAGCAGGGATTATATGAAAATTTTAAACTATCATCTCATTTAATCCTCACAAAAACCATATGAAGTAGGTAATGTAATTCCCATTATATTAATGAGATTAAGGAAGAATAAGTCAAAATAACTTAGCTTTTCTCAAAATATTTTGGAGTCTTAGCTCAAAGCACCTACTCTCATCTATTAACATTTAGCATAGCACAGAAATAAAGAGATTTTGGGAATTTGGCAGCACTATTGAGTTCTATACTTAGATATTCCTTAAAGTGTTCACAAATGTAAAAATATATCTATTATTTTGCCATATGTATGATTTTGGTGGGAAATTCGTATGATATTTTGCCAAACCCTGGCTAATATCTGCTGCAGATACAAAAATGAACAAATTGCAGACTTAGGTTTTAGTGTTACCCACACCTGATACGTGTCAAGGTAAGGCCTTTTGTTCTGATCAGAAGTTAATTTGTTATACACTTTAAAAATTGGGTTTAGATCTCATGTTAGATGTTCTTACCACAACTAAAATAAACTTTTAAAAAAAGTTAATTTGGTGGGCCTAGCCTGTAGGTATTGTAAAACACAGAATGTCTAGAATGCACCCTTTTCTGTTAAATACTCTTCCTTTCTTTTAAGATAAGTTATATTATTTACAATGTTTTAGGAACAGGAGTACAAACAAACAGATCCCAGTGATTTCCAGTGTTTTCCTGCCTCTAGAACCAAGGTGTTCCAGTATGTGCCTGTTCTTTTGAGTGCGCTGTGTTGGATTGTGGTGGACTGGGCACGGCAGCTCAGTGAGCTCGCATCCTGAGGACAGTGAAATGGCACATTGGACCTCACTTTGACATTTTATAGTAAACTCTCCTTATGAGTCTAGAATGATTTTATTCTTTCCAGAAATCCATCAGTTTTCAGTGTTTGGTTACATTTAATGGCTTGATATTAAGGTATTAATAAAATATGTGAGTTTTATATGTAAAGCTTACTCCTTGAGAAAAGGTTGTTTTCTTTACTAAATTAAAAGATAATGAAGACTTATTCTGAGAAAACACAGGATTAGGAGTGTTTCTCTACAAAAATTCTGAAGGGATTTTTTTACCTTGTGTAGTTGATGCTGTTCTGATTCTCTTCACATCTTTCTCTCCATTAGCTTCCTAATATTCAATTATAGCCTTCTTCATTGTGTATCATTATCCTTTAAGAATTGTCCCTTTCTTTTTTTTTTTTTTGAATTGTCCCTTTCTTTACAGAATATCCTCGTATGTACACTATATGGAATTATCTTTTTCATTAATGACATTTTTCTGTACATATATAATATTTATAGAAGTCTTCAGAACTGCTCTAGTTTTTAACAGCATAAAATCCTGTGCCATTTTGGATAAAAACTATTATTGGCATTCAGCTCTATATAATTAATGGCTGTCTATATGTCAAATGTTCTTTTTTGAGCTATTGAGGATTTTCTGATGCCATACTGTGAAAAGTGATGAGTGATAGCTCTGCCCTCCTGAGGCTGCCCTTTATAAGCATTTGGCCAGAAGTCCTTGCAGGGAGAAATCTGTTTTTAATTAATTGAGTATGAGATTCTGATTTGGGCTCTTAAAAAGAGCACTTTTGTTCCATTTACTTTTCTTTGCCTTCTTAGGTAAAAGAGTTCTAAACTGAAGAAAGCAGACCGCAAGTAACTTAGTGATAATGAATCATACCTAAGAGGTTTTCAGTGCCATCTGGCACCAAAGGCAGTGGTGACACTGCCATCCCCTGTGGAATGCACCCTTATTTTATTCTTCCCCCTTTTTCTGGAGAGTCCTTGCGTGTAAACATGGTGGTAAGACTGTGCACTTGAAGTCCTGTCCCTTTACCTGTCACAGTTTGCCTGTGGCTGGCCGTCAGCGCGGGACTTTGCCAGACCCCGCACCCCAGCCCAGCCATCGCTGTGCCGCAGTTTTGGCCCCACACAGCTGGTTTATGTTCAGTAGGATGTGTTGCTTCCCAGAAACAGTTCTTAATGTTTTTTATTAAATCCTATCTCTTCAGAAAGTTGATTTGTTCTAAGTAAAGATCTTATCACAAGTAATACTTGCAGAATAAGTATTTAGCATTTGTTCTAATGGCAGTGTATCTGTCACTGCCATGTGGTTCTGTTATCAAATTGGAGTTGATTGTATTAAATATAGGTCTTCAATTCAACTGACAAGAGGCTCTCTTTATTTTATTTTGTTTTAGCTGGGCAGAGAGCTGGTATTTGTTACCTACTTAACTATTAAAAGGAGGAAGAAAAAATAGTTTTAACTTGAAAGATGGGCATTTGACATCACACGGCATTCCTACCTAGTGTTTATTTTCGTCACTCTGACAACGAGCATTGCTGCCTTTCTAGACATGATAAACAAAGTGCCATTCTGTATTTATTTAGCTCAGTGATAAAGATCTTAGGCTTTTCAGATTTCAGGGAGATCTGAATTATACATGTGAATAGATTTTATTTTAATTTAAGCTTTACTGCCGCTGCTCTCTGGCAGACCCTTGCAGAGATCCTACATCCAGCCCGGAGTGCTCCATCTGATCAAACGTAGCTTGATGGCGGCTTTGTTCTACGCTTGGATGCCGTGTGTGTTGGGCCTCAGCTTTCTCAAGTTACAGATCTGTTCTGAGGCAAACTCCTGCCTGATTTTCACTGCATTTTATCCTGACTGTGAATGTGCTTTTGCCCTTGTGTATTTCTGCATCAGTTGAAGCGTCCATAGAGCTGGACTTTGTGGAGCCCAGATTTCTGTCAGACTGTGGAAGCTCAGTTGGTTAAGCATCTGATTCTTGATTTTAGCTCAGGTCATGATCTCAGGGTTGTGAGGTAGAGCCCCACGTGGCTCTCTATGCTCAGTGAGGAATCTGCTTGAGATTCTTTCCCTCAGCCCTCCCCCCTGGCATGTTCTGTCTCTCTCTAAAATAAATACATCTTGAAAGGAAGGAAGGAAGGAAGGGAAAAGAGAAGAAAAGAAAAAAGAAAAGAAAAGAACGAACTAGAATTTGATTTGGGATCACAGGGCACAATGTCTATAAAACAACACAGAGTGAGGGAGAGAGCTTAAGACAGCACATGCCAGTATAGCTATATGTTGATAAAGAAGGAAACTAAAAATAGAACTTAGCAGCTCGTATTAGAGACTTCTCTGCTTTCTCTCCCTCCCTGCAAAAACTTGTTGCAATTTATGGTAATTGCTTCTTCACCTGCCTTTTACGCTAACAGGATAGAGGCATCCACTTAGAATAATTGAACTTTCCATCAAACCCATAGAATCATTTATTCTTTACATACCACCACAATAAGTTCTGTTATAATGTTGCTTTTACAGTAATATAGTTTGAGGTGCAATTTTAGAGGTGAAAGCATAGGTCTTGAAGTTTGAATCAGCATTCTGAGGAGGTAGTGTTTGTTTGAGGAAACTAAGACCAAGTTAATGATTTTGATTCTTCCTTCTCAAGTCACTTAAAGCTATTAATTTTACTCTGCTAGATCCTTCTGTTTAAAATATAGTGATTAGGGATATACGTCTCTGTGCGGAAGGAAAGCAGAAGCTACAAGTGGTAAGATAAAGTACAATCCTGATGTTTCTGTACATCATGTTCTTCTAGAGGTAAATCACAGTGCTCGACAATGCAGAAGTGACTTTTAAACAAAATTTGGTTTTGGTGTTTTCAGAAAACTTTGAAAGTGTTTATCCCTTGAAGTTTGTGTGTATGCTTACATAAATACGTGTGTATGTATATATGTGTATGTATGTTATATATACACACACACACATATATACATGGACGTTACTTTGTTCTTTAGAGGAGTGACATGTATATATAAATCATTTTGTTTCTTTCTTAGAGGAGTGAATGTGGTTCCTTTTCTAGAACTCATTGGGTTACCTGACAGCATAGTAAACATTCTGAAAAATTCCCAGAGTGGAAATGCACTAACAGCATATGCCTTGTTTAAGGTAAGTACTGTTAAGAATGAATTGCTCTTCACGCTTAACTGGTAACCTGCTCAGTTTCTCATAAAACTCTGTGTTAGTTCCCAGTAGTTATCTTTTGTAACTTAAAATAGCCATATAAAATACCAGTCTAATGGCTAAAGTTTTTTTTTTTAAGTTTAGATTTTATAAATAAAATGATGGTTTAGGAAGAAGTCCATTGAGAATAGATCGTTCCTAACTGCTGTAATCAGATAAACGTGGGACTTCCAAATTTCCGGAAGTTATCTTTTTGACATTTCTCACACTTTAGAGTATATTAGTTTTCCTTATTCAGAGATCCACACGTCACTTGACTTGTTAGTGATATTTAGCATTTATTCCACTGTTTATAATAGTTCATCTTCTTGATAAGTAAAGTAGTAAAGTCTAATTCAAATTGTTACGTGGATCCCTGGGTGGCGCAGCGGTTTGGCGCCTGCCTTTGGCCCAGGGCGTGATCCTGGAGACCCGGGATCGAATCCCACGTCGGGCTCCCGGTGCATGGAGCCTGCTTCTCCCTCTGCCTATGTCTCTGCCTCTCTCTCTTTCTCTCTCTGTGACTATCATAAATAAATAAAAATTTAAAAAAAATTGTTACATGGGATCAACCTTAGACTTAGTAGCTGTTATGTATTTCCTTTTAGAAATTTGTTGTCTATAATCTAGCTGTTCTCTGGAGTTGAGACGATGACATCTTTATAAGCAGAGTTTCTATGTCTGTGGGTCTTTCTTTTGGAAGAGGAGACTCCATGTAAATTGTAGAATTTAGCCACATTAATCTTACTTTTCTAAGTTGACAATTACCAAGCTCTATATATCTTCATCCTGATAAAGAAAACAGGTAGAAAACATTTGGAAACTAGGTGCTATCTTATTTTACTTTCATTGTATAAAAATACTTAGAAGTATGGTTTTCTGGTAGTACCAGTAACGTTGTTTTATTCTGTTATCCTCATTAAAATCCTCTGAAATCTTGGGAGATCTTTTTTTTTTATTGTAATTTTGACTGGAGAGCTAAAGCTTAATTGAATATTTCCAACATGAAAACTTAATAAATCCATAAATGATCAAGTTTCTAGCTATAATGGGTATAATTTACCTTAGTAAATCAAACTATCATGATGATTTATGCTATTTCCCTAATGGCTCCTTATCCCGTGTTCCCATAGCATGTATAACTCTTAATAGTTCGTATCATGGTCTGGCGTTAGTTGTGTGGGGCTTTTTTGTTTTTTTAATATTTGGTTTCTTTATTTGATTTTAAGTGCTCAGGAATTCAGAGTCATGTCTTCTTTCTCTTTGTGTTTTCACAATGCCTGGTATTGTGGTTTGTGGGCACATCAGTGCGCAGCATATGTTTGTTGGGTGGAAGTTGAAACATGAACCTGTACATGTAGGTAGGCTAGTGTCAGCAGTGTTTCATCCCACTCAGTGTTCCTCTGGGAAGTGGGAAATGTACAGGGGATTCTCCTGGGTATTTTCTGTAACCCACAGTTTCTCAAGTGCAGTGACAAAACATTGGGATTTATTGCTTCAATAAGGCAAAGCCTCAGAAAAGAGGTGTGGCAAAGAGGAGAAAACACACTTGGGTTTAACCTTGTGACACAGACTAGGACACACTCCTCAGCCCTGTATCACTGTCCCAGAAGTGAACCTTTAGTTTAATTGACAAAAATTTTTTGAGTCCCTACTATGTGTCAAGTACCATTCTAGTACTGGGAATACTGTAATTAAATAAAATGGTACAGAATTCATGCCCTCATGGAACTTATATTCTAGTGGTGGGAGCCAGCTGGGTAAAGAAGGTAAAGTTAAAACACACACACCACCATGTTTAGATGATGGTAAGTGCTAAGAAGAAAGAACAGCAGCAAGGGAGGACGTGTTTGTGTTGGGGTGTTTTTGGGTATTTTGTTTTCTTCAGAGGGATGTTGCCAGCAGGTGAGGGAGTTGGGTAGAAGAGCATTCAAGGAGAGGAAACACAAATGCAAGGTACTGAGGCTGCAGGCTACCTGGAGTATTGGCGGGAACAGGGAGGATGCCAGTGTGGCTGGGATGAGAGGCAACAGAGCGGCAGTCAGATTGGGGGCCCTTACAGCCACGTGAGCACTTCAGCTTTTACTCAGAGGAGGTGGAAAGTCACTGGGCAGTTTTGAGTATCTGACTTGTGTTTTAACAAAATCATTTTGGCTTGTGTATTGAGAACAGCCTATATAGGAGGGCAAGGGTAGAAGCCTAGAGACCTGGCAGGAGGAGTTATTGCGGTGGTGTGGGTAAGAGCTGACAGTGGCCAGGACCCAGGGGTAACAGGAAAGCCCAGAAGATGCAGGTAGATTCTAGATATGTTTTGAAGATGGAGCTGGTGGGATTTTTTAATGAATTGAATGTAAATTATGCAAGAGAAAGGAGTTAAAGCTGTCTTGTAGGTTTTTGGCCTGAGCAACTTTAGAGTCGTGGGTGGGCGCCTGGGTGGCTCATTCAGTTAAGTGTCTGCCTTCAGTTTGGGTCATAGTACCAGAGTCCCAGGATCAAGCCCTGTGTCAGGGATCCCTGCACCATGGGGAGTCTGCTTCTCCCTCTGCCTCACACCTCGCTTGTGCTTTCTCTCTCTCTAATAGATAAAATCTTAAAACAAACAAAACAAAACAAAAAAACAGAATAGAGTTGCAGTCAGCTGAGCCTCTGACTCTCGGTTTAGCTCAGGTTATGATCTGGGGACATGAGATCAAGCCCCTCATCAGGCTCTGCAGAGTCTGAGGTTCTACCCCTCTGCTCCTCTCTCTCCCCCAAATCAATCAATCAATCAGTCAATCTTTTGAGAGGAGAGGGAAGGTGTCCTGGTGGCTCCATCCATTAAGAGTCTGACTCCTGACTTTGGCTCAGGTCATGATCTCAGGGTTGTCATGATCAAGCCCCATGTGGGGCTCCCTCTACACTCTATATAAATAAATAAAATAATAGAGTTGCCATTTCCTGAGATGTGGACAGCTTTGAGAGAAGTAGGTTTGGGGCAGGACCATCGAACATCATGAAGCAGCTGTGAACAAATGACATTTTGAGATCCTATTAGACATGCAGGTGGAAATGAGTAGGAGGTTGTATATACTGGAATTTAGGGGAAAGGCTCAGTCTGGAAATCTAAGAATCATTAATGTACAAATGGTACTACAGACATGATCCTGGGCTAAGACGACTGAGGAATGAGGTGGCTGGAGAGAGGGAGTACAGTGCTGCCCCATGGTGTTCAGAGGTAGGCAACAGGAAGAGGAATGGGCAGGAAGGACTGGAAAGGGGCAGCCTCTAAAGCAGAAGGAAATCAGGGAAGTAGGGGCACAGCAGCCAGGCAGGGCATGCTCCAAGGAGTAGAGGGGGAACCTGTCTCCATGGTTCTGACGGTTCACAGGCCTCTCATCAACTGTGATGAGAGGTGGGGGTGAAGGCTTGGTTAGAGTAAATTGAAGAGAAAATGAAGAGGCAAATTGGAGATGTAGAGCATAGGCCCCTCTTTCAAAGGGTTTTGGTACTGAAGTTATCAGAATGGGATACAGATGCTCTCCACTTTTGTGTTGTTCTTTGACCAGTTCATCTAGTACTCAGCTTTGGTCCTTAAATCTCTGGGCAAAGTTAAATCTGTGCATGCCTGCACAGATTTTTTTTTTTTTTCCTCATGAAAGTTCCCAGTTGGGATTTCAGACCCAGGGTGGATTGTAATGAGAAGGTAGCATGAGGCCTGGAAAAGTCAAAGGGTTTTGGAAGTGAAACTAAACTAAATTCAATGAAGAATAAACATTTGGCCCATGTTTGCTTCTCACCATTTGAAGTAGTTTGGGTCTGGTTTCGTTCTAGATACACAATGTCCACAGGTTAGCAGGGATTTTAAGGAACAGAGGCAAGTGCATGTTTGTTATTGGTCCTGAGGCATCGTCTCACATTCCCAGGGCGTCTGTCTCCGGGTTCACTAGCACGTGGTTGTAGGCTCCAGGGCTTCTGCGAATATGCTGTAGTCCTTGGGTCAGTGTCTCAGTGACAGATGTTTATAAAATACATTTACAAAAGAGGGAAAAACCCTGTAGCCAATAAAGTAATTTATACTCTTATCGTTACTAAAAATTTTAATTTCAGATTGTTTTTGCTTAAGACAGTAGTCCTGATGAGCCATTGATCTCCTGCCTTTGCTTTTCCCCTCAGATTGCAACACCTGCCCGATACACTGTGACTTTGGGAGGAACCTCCTTCACTGTGAAGTATTTGCGTAGTCGGGGCTACATGTCGACACCGCCTCCTGTTAAGGAGTATCTACAAGACAGGATGGAAGAGACCAAGGAGCTTCTCACAGAAAAAATGGAAGAAACAAAGGATAGACTCACTGAAAAATTACAAGAAACCAAAGAGAAAGTTTCTTTTAAGAAAAAAGTGGAATAGAGTGCCTTATATAACAGGTGATAGAACAATTTCTGCACTTTAACCCTTTGGAGACTATGGACAAGGACACATGCTTCTGATTATTTTTTTTTTCGTTAGTTGCCTAAATATACCAGTTCTCTGAGGGTTAAAGGCCTAAGATACCTTCTTTTTAAAGTTAAATATTACTAGAAAAATCAGTGTTTTTTGAAGAGAAAAATGAACCCAGTATAAGATTTTAACATCAATCACAGCATTAAGCAGCGGTTAATGTCATAAGTCAAAGCTCTTCTTCAGGGTCTTCAGAATCCTACTTGCTTTGTGTTTTATTGCAACCAGAACTTATGCAGATGAAGCCGTTGACTCCTTGAATGACTGATGTGGCCCTACACATGGTGTTAACACTGGATTTTCATCTTTATGTTATTCCTTGAGCTTTTAACTATATTCATTTCTCAATGTGGAGACCAACTATTATCGTCAAAACTGCCAGTGAATGAGGGGATATTTAGTGTTTCTGAAAAAATGGTATATAACAGTTATATACATTTAAAATAACACACTTTATATGAAGGAAATGGAATAAAAATTGAGTCCTATGTATGTAAATAAGATGTATTGGTCAGATGTAAATGAAAAATTGACCCTTTAAAAATGATTTTTACCTGAAACTTGTCATGATCAAATTTTTTAAAGCAAATCTATATGGACATGGTACTTTTTCACGTACAACATAAATCTCTACCATGAATCATTTGTGTTCTCTTCAACTCTTTTGCAGAGGAAAAGTGAAAATAATATTACACTTTAAGTTTATTGTTAAACCCAAATATTCCTAAACCGTGATTCAAGTTTGTGGTTCTCGAGCAGATACAGATGTGGGAGCCAACTCACACCCCCTGCCACGTGGCAGACTTTTGTCTCCATAGGCCAACATCCTCTTAGTCTTTGTTTCAGAGTTAATGTTGATTTCTTGTGCAGTAAATTTTTAAATTGTAGCTGCTTTTTCCCTTATAATGAGGGATCCTTTTCCCTTATATTGAAATATGCTTGAGCATTTTACTTGAATTTTTTTTTTTTTTTTTTTTACTAGCAAAGCTATCATTAAATTATCTGCTTGGAATGAAATTCAGCCATTGTCAGATACGAGAGTTGCCATGATTCTGTGAGTGTGTTTGAAAATGTGTGTGTCTGTTTCCTTTGGTTCTAACTGCTTTTACTTCAGTTCTAATCCTTGAGTTGATATTCAGAAAACAGAGTGGCCTCTTTCTAGACGTGTCATTGTTTGGATGATGTGATAAGACAAAATGTCAGAGGGACTTCCAGAAGCAACCCTGTGGGGGATCACTGCTATTGGGATAGACTTTGTATTAAATATTTAATGGCCAAATTTGGAGAATAATTCAAAGGAAATATTTAAATTTACTCTTGATGCATCTAATCACTATATTGGGACATTTTATGAATTAGTATGCTGTGATTGGAGTCTGTGCCTTTCTCTGTCATGCACACTCTTGAGCACGGAGAAGGGTTTGGTCTCCTGATACACAGCTGAACACAGGATTTCAGCTTGACAGCACATTTTAAAATCTAAAAACAGTTTACATGTTTTAGCTTGCTTATTAAGCAGATATTAAATGCTAAGATATTAACAAATTTCTTGGGTTTTTTGTTTTTTTAACCACTTGAGACTATGCCTGTGTTTTAACACCTAATGAAACTCTTCTAAAACAACTTACTTTTCACATTGCACAGGGCATATTTTCCTTTAGGGATAAAGTTGGGGTTCTTAGAAGTCACTAATAATCCTGAGACTAAAGTTTTCTTTTCCCGACTATCCACCACTTGAGTTTTTGTTGCCATCTGGTTATAGAAAAGGAGATGCTGATGTGAGTGCTTTGAAATTCTCTAGTGAAATAGTCTCTGAAGAGGTGAGTCCTTTTGTCATTATTTGGTATCAGGAATATTTGTATCCTATCAAATGCCGTTGCTAGCATATTGCTAATCTAGTCTTAAGCTACCCATGACTTATAAGGGGGACACCTGTAACATGTTGTTTGTATTACTAGCAGGCTAACAGAATGTAGTAATGTGTGTCAGGTTAAACAAATCACTGACATATAGATGTGTCACACAGTAAATCCATATAGTTTGCTGTATACAGTAAACTCCCTTGGATTTACAGTCAGCCTTATGCTTTGGATTAATTTGCCCCTACGTTCTTGTGAGAGGGAGTAGAGCAATGTGATATGCATATGTCTTTAAGTAGGATGTGTCAACAGGATAAGGAGGGAGCTATGGCTGAGATTTAACTCCTATAAAGTGGGTGGAAAGGGTGTGCTCAACAAATTAGCAATAGAAATGAAAAATAGGTTAGGCAAGAAACTTCGTGTATTCAGGAATAATAGCAAAACCAGCCTTTTGCTGTACTAAACAAATCTTTTACTGAATCTTTTGCATACAGTAGGGTGCTGTTTAGATTTCAACAAAGGAGAAAGAGAACGGATATATTGCAATTCCCTTTCTCCTAATAGTGAACATGATAAAATTATGCCTTCAAATGTAGTCTTCTATTTATTTTTTTGTTACAAAACATACCCCCCTTTATTTACAAATAAAAGATACCACTGTGATCCTCATGCTCCAGGGTGAAATAGAGCTATTGACTGTCCTACTTTAGTGATCTTAGAAGGTAATTCCAGGAATTGGAAAGATCTTAATAGTTTGGGCCAAAGATGCATTGGGCGAAAAGAAGCAAGTTGTGTACTTGACACACCTAAAGGTACACGCAGCAGACTGCAGGCTTCACTCTGCCCTGGACACTTGACTGGCCTCGGGCCCCATCCAGCCTTCTGATTCCTGAAAGATCAGGCAATTTGAGCTTATAACTGCTATCTGGGAAGAGCTGTTTCAGGCCACTGGGGTATATTTTTCCCCTCTGAGATTTCTCTTTTGTGACGTCTGTGCCACGTGGGTTCATTTTAACTAGTCACAGCAAGTCTTTGTCTTGCTTCTCCACGGTTAGGCTTTGAAAATCAAGCTGTGGTCCCTGACGATCTCCAACAATAATAACTACAGATCATAATTGTCTCGTGGCAGTTATCTGGCTATTTCCATAAGCATGAGCTTAGTAGGAAGAATGCATCTTGATTTTGGGACCCTTTCTGGTGACGTGATTGGACAGCCACGGTGGGGAAGTGCGCAGCAGCCAAGAGTCTTCTCAGGGCGTGTTTTCCACGTCGTGTTTTCTCCGGGACAACATGGTCTGTGACGGCAGAAGTTGGAAGACAGTTAAAAGACACTCCACGTGCTGCCTAAGTATATCCTGCATTTGGCCTGAAAACGCAGGTTGCGTAGAGCCTTTCTTCTTTCATTCCCTCTGCCTCCCTCTGTCCAGCTTCTTCTGTTTTGAATTCTGATCAGTTTAAAGGTCAGAAAACTGCGAGTGTGCACGCACGCCTGCCTGGTTCTCTATGGAGCACAGGCCGGTCTCCTCCGCCGTCTCTGGTGGGCAGGCCCGCGTGGCCCTGCTTCAGGAAGAGTGGGATGGCAAGCTTGCAGTTCCCGGACTTTTCTATCATGGATGTGGTGAGAACCTCTTACTGTATTGTGATAGTTCCGTAGACATTACCCTAAGCATATGGCATAGGAAATTGTGGCAAATCTGTATCGTCCCTTTTACCAATAGATGTTTTAGCTCCTTAAAACCAAATTCGATTTTTAAATCTAAAAAAAAAAAAAAAAAAACATAAACATACACCATTTTCTCTCCATGCACAAGTATTTCAGTTGTAATGACCTTTTATGAACTTCCAAGTACTAGATTTAAGATTCAGTAATGATTGAAGTATATTTTGATTTGTGTTTTATTGAATCTGGGTCAGCATTTTCTTTGGACACTTAAAATGATGACTACTTAATTGTCACCATTGCTGTCCTTCTCTGAGAATAGTGGCTGTTTTCATTCTTACGCTAAGGGTGCCAAAAGCAGGGTCTGTGAAGTCCTCTAATATGATGGCTCTGACTGCCCTCCAGCGACCTCTGGAGATAATATTACAGAGCTTGTTGCCGTGGTGCTCCACCAACTGGCACTTTTTATTCCCCTATTAAAGAGGATGCAGATATGGTGGATTGTAACTTAATTATTACTTCTTTTGGTTCAGAAATAAGGGACAAGTATTAGTACTTTCCCCAAAAAGTTGGAAATAATCATCAAACACTTATCTGCAAAATCTAATGCAACTTTTGTTGAGAAATCTAGACTGTTTGGTAACTGCATTATTTTAAAAGCATTTTAGAGTAATAGGAGTTCTGAGTCGTACACCCTAGGCTTGCAGAGAATTTGTATAGAATTTTGCCTTTAGTGGATCATTTTAGAACTGAGACCAATACTTTTAGTTGAAGAAAGGAGAGGAGGAGAACTGGGTCTGGAATTCAGATCCCAATTTCCAGTTTATTTGATTTTTTTTTCCACTTATGCCAGGCATGAAAATAAAGTAAGTCCATGCTTTGGGTCCTTTGAAATTCTTTGTATTTTTGGAGCTGAAGCCAATTTATTAACATTCTTTGCCTGTCTCTTCTGCTGGTGTTTTCCATCTTCTTTGGGCTTTTAACCTTCTAATTTTTCTTTAAATTGCTCACAGTCTACTACTTTCATCCTTTTCTCTTTAGAGTGGTAGGAAGGGAAGAAAGTACTTATCCTGTTCTCTCATGTATGGCTACAGAGAGGAGATACTGCTTCGTTTCCCATGCTCCAACATCACTTCCCTTAGCCTGTGACATGAGAAGGTTTGTCCAGGGCCAGTCAGTGCTGACGTCTTGCTATCTGGGTTGACCTTGGCAAAGCAGCTGTTAGTAGCTATTTTCAAACACCTAAATCCATACTGGAGAGCAAGTAATTAAAACTTGGTAATTAGATCTAGTCTTTATATATCTGCACATTTAATCTTTCATATATCCAAAGAGGATTTGATCTCAGGAAATTGTCCCGTTGCCCCTTTGGCAAAAAGGGAGTTTGCGTTTTCCCACTGCTCCTATGTGGAGGGTCCCGTTAGTGGCCATGATGTGTGAGCCTGTGCCTGTGGCACGCTTGAGCCAGCTCAGATTGGAATTTTCCATTTACTCGAGGCCAGTCACTGGAACATCTGAAGCCATCAGAAGCTGGAATTTATGGAAAATTTTAGCACTGAGAAGTTCAGCATATCTCTGATTAAGAATGATCAGGTTTCACCAAAGGAAAGAGGTTGGCTTCACTGAGTCCCAAGAAAATGCGACCAGACTTAAACCCCGGCATGTCATGCCCTGGTGAGCAGCTGTGCGGTACGGCAAGGTGACACAGAGAACAGCTGTAGTCTTCAGTGTTATCTTGTTACTCGTGTTCTGCACAGGGAGACCTGTCTAAGGGACCTGATGGGCTAAACTTTGCTGCATTTGCCTTGCATCCCCGTCACTCACGTAGCTTGCACGGGCACTTCATGGCTAAACAGCAAGGATGATGAGAACCAAATATGTTCCTGTTCGTGGGCAGCAGCCCCTCCATCTGGGTGGGTTGCCACATCTTGCCTCCCCTCCTCTGTAGCTGTGCTTGGCTGAAGCACTTGCAGGCGGAGACTGGCTGATGGAGAAAGAAACCTCAGAGTGGAAATGGAGAATACACATGCTCATCCGAGGC